CCCTTTGTACGAACAAAAGTAAGAGAAATTTAGGAGAAGAATACGAACATGTTCTTGCATGAGGCCCATTGTCTCATTTACGAGAGACCTGTTACATCCACCGCAACAAAGTAACATAAAAACAATAATAATACAATTTACGTAACACTTCTAAAAATCAATACCATACATCATCAAAGTAAAGGGTTTTCATTGACAACAAGTAGAGGTGCTTATTTTACAATAACCTTATCCTTTTTTAATTTCTTTTCTAAGCCTACTGCATATTAGAACATTTCTTGAGTGGAAGAATATAAAACCCTGAACGAGTGCATTTATTAGTTTTTCAACAACACAAACCTCTAGTTCAGACACTCGAGCCTGTAAGCTGGATCTGTTCCTCTGATCCTCCAGCACCTGGACGTTATACTTCTCCAGCTGTTCGTTCAAACTCTGCAATGCAAGAGAAGACATTTAGATTTAAACACTTAATGCAAGCACAGATTTATAATCATTATACAACGAAAAAGAAGACAGGGGTCATATTGCCTTTTTTGTTACCATTCACATGAATTAACACAACAGAACAATAAAAATATATACTGTATATATTATATATAATTATGTATTTTCCAGGCACAAAGTTTAACTATATAACACAATCAAGTACATATGTTACCTTTAGTTATGAAAATGCTGTGTATATATTAAAAATAAATCTGACTTTGCACCATACCGTCTCTTTAAGAACCTCCTACTGTTTCAGACACTCCCACTTCAGTACATCTGCACAACAATCTTTAATACCGTTTGCAACCTTTCATAGGAGTGTTGTATTTTGTTGTAAAAGAAGCAACATTTTTATAATATCGGTTTTGGAAAACAGCAACTCAGGATACAGTTGAACCTTYTGTGATTCCACATCGGACCCTGAAAGCATGTTTTCTGAAGAACTGGAGTGAGTACACAGAGGCTCTGACAAGACATCTCAGACTATATCTCCCAGTCATCCTCTCACACATATACAACAATGTTAAACTACGTTTTGCAAAGAAACTATAAATGAAGTCATGAACATCCACCAATTTTAAGATGTGTTTTGAAGCTGTGTGTGCGGGGGTGCTCTGTGTGTGTGTGTGTGTGTGTGTGTGTGTGTGTGTGTGTGTGTGTGTGTGTGTGTGTGTGTGTGTGTGTGTGT